TTCCTAAATACTCGTACCAGCGATTTTCTTATTGTTAACTAATTGTAAAATAAAATTGTAAATGTGAATGTGAATGTGGATGAAATTGGAGTCTTAAAACATTATTAGCCATGATTATGTAAATTATAGGTAAAGTGCCACAAGTGGCAAATTGATTGTGCATCTGTGCAATTATTATATTTAAGGTTTTTATTTAAGAGAAAACGTTTGTAAAGTTCACTGAAGCTTTAGTAGATTTTATAACCGTAGGTGAACATAAAGTCTTTTCTCTTACTTCAATAACAGCAGTCTTGATTATATTAGTAACAGTAATAACAAATAAACAAGAAAATGAAGACCTTTTACCTCTCTGTATAGCAGTTTTAAAATGATTAAATACTTTATATCCTAATTAGTAATAAAATTTTATGGACACTAATGTTAGACTCCAAAATAAATATATAAAGTAAAAGTAAGAGTCTTCATTTACTACACGCGGGCACTAAGACTAACAATAACAAAGTAATTTATGTATACCTTAAGTATTACTTACTAATTATTTATATGGCTTAAAAGTAGGTCCATCAACAGAGTTATTACTTAAACTAATTTTTTCTTTTCATTATTTTAAATTTGCTTTTTTGTTACACAAATATATTTGCTTCAAATATTTCTTGAGTGTATGCCTTGACATCTTTTACAAAATCAGAAAGGACACCCAAGTCTTCTTCAGATACTATTTACTACATTTCTACAACTTTCCCTGTATACTTGCTATAAAATTTGTAGCGTATTTCTTTCAGTATTGAACTGAATTCTACAAATGAGTAGAGTTCATCACACAATTTTTCAAATTGAGAGTCTTGATGCATATAAGAGTTTTATATATTGTCAGAGCAAGCTCCCCAACTTTATTCGTACAATATTTCTAAGATTTCTTCCTCTGCAAGCTCTGTAAGAGTGTTTTTCCTATAGAACTTGAAGTGTATTTCAGTTAGTATTGGTTTCAATCCTATAAATTTAATATGAGTATAGTTCATCATAGGATCTTTCAACTTGAAAGACTTGATTCAATATTTTTCACTTTCTTGATTCAACAAAGAAAAGTGAAACTCTATTTGCACACAAGGCTCTGGTGTGCAAGACCGTAACTTTAACCTGACCTGACTTTGTGGTTTGCCGTAACCCATTAAAAAATTTCGGGCCTATTATATGATATGAAGTTATTATTGCTCATGCTAGATAAATAATGTACTGACATAGTAAAATTATAAATTGAATCTTATAGTGTAACCTAATACGAAAAAGATTATTTTTATCATTATTACGAGTACTAGGGGATGTTATGCACTGCGATGTAAAAAGTCTGTTGTGCTAACCCCAGTTGCCTTAAAGAATCTGATCATTTTGAATAGTTTCATTTTGTGCCATATGTGTATGTTGTATAGGGTAATGAAACTGTCCTCAATATAGAAGACTACTACTGATCAGTTTAGGGCATTTACAGAGAATTTGTTCAGCGGGCTTACATATACTGATCTCTACCTTTTTCAGAAATCCGAATGACCAATATCCGCTCTGTTATTTCAGACTGTCTTGGATAGGTTATTCGGTTTTAGAGTCTGTTTTAAACCTATATTGTTTCTCGAGTGGTTCTGAAATTAAGATTTCTCCCTGTTTCTGAACTTATCGATTTATTTCACTTATAACGCCTTATAACTTATTTTCACTTTATAAAGTATATGTAAAATATACCTATGAGAATTGTATATAATTCAAAATATTTTTTAAGGTATGCAAGTAGTTTCATTCATTTGTAATATATTAAAGTATCTTGTCAGATTTGTGGAAAAAAATATCAAGATAAAGCAAAATTCCGATGCTTTACAATTAGAAAACAGAACACATAATGCTCTCTATTTGAAAGTATGTATACGATTTATACATAATTTTATCAGTCATACATCATATATCACCATAACTGTAAATTAATTTAAAAAACTGCCTCAAATTTGTTAATCTTCAACAATTAATCTACACGACAAGACGTGTCAATGTTAGATTGAATTTAAAATATATGAGCAAAGTGCCGGCTCAGTTTTTGCGAAGAACAATTAAAGTCATTCATTAACTTAAAAATATTTTTAAACCTGCTCCGAACACAGTAAAATTATTTGTTATTATTTAAACAAATGTTAAGGGTAACAGCGCCACTAAAGAACCCCATAGTTTTCTAACTTACATAGTTTTTTTAACTTTATTGATAAGTTTTACTATTATAGTTACAGGTATAAAGTTAGACTATCTGTGAGGGCTATCTGTGTAAGTTTCTAAATGAATCTAAGTAGATCGGGCAGAGAAAGAGCATAATAATTATTGATACCTAATATAACATAATTCAAAATGTCCATATCCTCGAGACATGATTGAATTGATGAATCCGTGATGATGAGCATATTGGCTATGTGAGGTCCATCTACGGTGACTTAGGTCAATTCTCTGAATTTCAACAAATTTTGGTTTTTTCTGTTTAATTAGAAATCTTTTTTTATAGACCACCGAATGTACAAACGAATAGTTTCATTTTTTAATTAATTCAGAAGATTATTTCTATGTTAGATATCAATATGTGGAGAAAAACTAATGTGATTAATTATCATTTATTTTTGAGTAAAGAACAAGATAAACCCATCATTAGGTAATATTTAACGCTCTTGTATTATAGCTCATTGTTACCAATATTTGGAAATATGCGCTTTAAAAGTAGCCGGAAATATCGTCAAAAAAATTGGTAAACAATGAATTTAATTGCACAATCAAAATATTGAGTTTTGTAAATTTATTGTGTTTACGACATAACACATAATTATTTTTTTTAATATATAGAAATATTCGGATTTATATTCGTATTAAACTTTAAAGGCATAACATAAACAAATTTATGAATATTTTTGGCTAGCAATTTGAATGAGTGTATCACTACACTTTTCTCAGGTACTTTGAAAATTTTTTATTATATAGTGGTAAAAAAAATGTTATTTATCAATATTAATGCATAAAACCGAATAATAGACACTGTGTCGAACTATAGCACCTTATCTTATATAAGATAATATAATATTTTTGAAGTCCTAGACTTTCATTTAGTAATATTTAAACAAAATTCTATGTCATATGTTAACGGCAGCCTAAATGTTTATATTCTGAGTAACACGTAAAAATTTATGCTCAAAAACAGTTACAACAATTAATCGTTTAACAGTCAGAGGGTAACTAAAATAGCAGCGCCACCCTATTTCTCAAATGAACTTAACAAGTTTTTTTTTGAATTTTTTTGTTGTATGGTA